CGTGCTCTTGTGTTTGTGGTGTCCACAAAAGATCAACCAACAGTCATAAAATGGTAAGCAAGGCAAAACATAAGCCAACACTTTGACTTCCTAAACATCCAAAAAAATAAAAAATATATCGCCCATTGACACAGGCCAATACCGAATACTTTGCTACCACATTCTGAGTGCCCTCATTTGGATTATTATCCGAGGCTGCAATAAAGAGGTTTCAAAATGAGGCTGGTGTAGGCGGCCTATTCAGAATAACTGCAGATGATTTACTGTACTAACATTGTTATCGTTTATTGTTATAGTGGTTTCAGTTTCATGTGTAATAACACAAGTTTATTGTATATGACTGTCATATAGAAGTATAATCATAAGGGAACACCAGTACATACTATCAATACTCTGCCACATTTACCTACTGGTGTAGCAGCAAAATCAGTGCAAAAAAAACCAACAACAAACGAGACATCTTCTTGAGAACCGTCCTTAGAAAACCTTTATAATTAGTGATAAGAGACTTTTATCTGTAGCAGAGAAAAAAATATATGTGGTGGAGATTGAGTGAAAGATATGGAACAAAGCCTCAGCATGCCTCTCTCTCAGCCTCTTCTCACAAATGTGGTGAGGAGCTGTTTGTCAATAGACACTGCTGAACAACCGCACTGCCTCTCTGCACACTGGTACGGTATCTGCACGTTCAGTTTCATTGCGTTGACTGTCACATTAAAGGCTGCTTGTTATCTGTAAGTGCTTGTGTGCACCAGTCCTAAACATTTAAAGCTGTTTATTAAGCCTTAACTTGGTCAAGTACAAACTTTCAATAAACTGGTCATTCACTGAAGCCGACATTATTCAGCATGTATCTTTCTACTTTGATTGTGTGAGTTGATTTTTAAATAAATAAATAAATAAAAATACACACAACCACACGCTCAAGTTTTCTTTCTAGTTCCCCTAAGTATCTTGCCCGGATTTCAGGGGAAACCCAGCATGAGCCAAACTGCAAACTCCTGAGCAGTTCAAGCACAAACATCAAGATGCAGCTTTTAGGACGACCGCGAGTCTGAGTGAATACTACCTGGTCGGCAGATGTCTTCTTTTGAAGTTATGTCATCTTCGGTAAACGAAGAGAGGAAGCGAGATTTTTCTCGCAGCAGCAGCAGCCGTCAAGCTCGGCGTCCTCCAAACTCAGGAGTGAGGAGAACTGCGAGGCGCAGAGCTGCTGACTTCTGACTCCACTGGATCGGAACCATATCCGCGTCCACTTCAAGCGGGGTGGCGGAGGGGGGGAGGCCAGAGGCATCAACAGCTCCGAACAACCTCATATGAAATGACGCAAGGCGGCAGCGAACACGTAAAGCGCTAACGCTAACTTTTAACGGCGAAGTGTTTCACTAAAATTTCAGAAATTGCTACTTTTAGTTAGGTTTAAACAACGTTAGTTAGCACTACTTCCCCCTGCGGGTTGGTATGTTCCGTTCTCCTCCCACCCCTCTTGCTGCTTTTACTACGCAGCGTAGTGATGTATATTAAATGTGGAACGATATAGTTACACCCGAAGAGGTTAAAATTTGTTTAGGTTTAAGCTGCTGTTCTTCGGAAAGGCAACAAAAGCCGAATAATAAAAAAAAAAAGTTTGGAAAAATGTTGTAAATAAAAGGCCGTTAGTAATTCACACACTGCAAGTTACGCCACAATTATTAATCCACAGCATAGTCAATGTATTGACAGGCATTTTAATACATAAGCACAGTAAGACTCGTGATTTACTTGTGCAGCCAGTCTACTCTCTGAAGACAAAATTTCCAATTTTCAAGTGAATAAAAATAAAACAATCTAGAATTTGGGATGGAAAACTCAGAAGTTTGTCACCAACCCAAGTCTCAAAATCCAAAATGGATGCCCTTTTTTATTTTAATTTACATTTTGGAAACAGTTTGAGAAGTTTACAAATACAATTAGTCCACCTTATGCCTATAACCCATAATACTTTGTTTAAATTAACGTGGAAAAAATAAAAACACCCACTCATCTTTTAAATAGTGAGTGGGTGATAGTTTTATCTGATGATGTACTTGCTGCTGTCAAGTCCATTGCTAAGGAAAGGGAAGTAAAAATCTAATTTTATTAGACATTGATCTGCCAATTTATATGCTTTTAAATCTGATGAGTGGACACAATTTGTGGGTTTAACTATTTGAAAGTGGCAGTTTTCTGTTGAAAAATCATGAATGCAGTCAGAAATAGAATTTTAAAAAAATATGCCATGCAATGATTAGTTATGTATATCAAAAAAGGAAGTACACTATTCAAACAAAAATCCAACCAGATGTCTCTGCAGGGCTGTTAATTCTGATTTCCCTTTGCAGACAAAATAAGTAAATACACAGGGTTTTCAGTTTCAATTCCAACTGAACTTTTTGGTTACATTCATCTTGGATTGTCTACTATTAGTAACTAGTGGAGTCCTAAACCCACATTTTCAGGAATAAAAGGGTTTCACTTTATCCGCCTATACAACACATACTCGTTAGAATTACAAGTTAAATTTGGCTCCATAATTGGTGCAGATGCAAAAAAAGAACATGTCAGTAAGTGTGTGATTATCAAAACAGATTGTCAAAGATTTATCAAAATTGCAAAACAGCTTTCTAGATTTTTTTTTTTTTTTACAAACATCTTTGCTGTAACTTTGTCTTACCAGAGGTTGTGGAATCAATCCTACAGCAGCACCACCAGTTGTAAGATGGGTAAACCAGTGTGACTGTGAGGATATTTCCTTTGTTGGGTTTGCATTGAGATAATCACATTGCCAGGTCAAGGAATGTAATAACAGCCTGCTTTACAGTGCCTTCCACCTCCTTTGTTTAGGTATATTTCAGTGGCAGTGTTACAGTGTCACTTACAGGCATCAATATATATATGTAATAGCTGTGAGTGCTATTTGGATGCATGTCATCATTCATTTCTTCACATTCAATGTGTAAAAACGGAAAAAAAAAACCCTGTAATAAAATCATTTCAGAGTAGCATTAAAATTAGCCTAGGTAAAACCAGTCATTACTCGAAAAGGCAGAGTGTGAATGTTTCTCACTGTCAGACAGACTTCCACATCCTGCTATGGAAAAGTTCACCGCTACATGCTGGAGCAATTCACTTCAATCCACAAAAATCCTGTTCGGAGACCTTCAAATGTGTTTCCAGGGAGATGAGGTGAAAAATATAAATATTTGCAGGATCACGCTTGAGAAGTTGAAATGAAAGCACAGAAGGTTGCTGGCAAGTCCTCCAGTGGGTTGTGGCATCAAGTCCAAAAACTTTCTTTTGTAAGTTAAGGTCATGAGTGGAATAAAAGTGAATCTCTAAAATGTTGACATGAAACTTGTTCAGGGTGGTAAATAATCTGTGAAAGTTTGATTTACCTCTTTTCACCTAATAATAAACTTTTAAAAGAAGCAGTCATTAGCCTAGTCTTAATAAAACTGTAAGAATAATCTATATATAAAAAAATTGGCATATCAACAGTAGCAAGAATTCTTTCAGTTTAAAAGGCTGTTATGTCCACTTTGACATAAATTACATTAGTATTATTGTGCTGCTAATACTGATTGAAACTGCCAATAAGACTTCCCCACAAAATCTATCAGACCCATGAAACCTGTCAGTCAGCTTTTCTATTTTGTAACGGTGGTGTAAATCTTTATAAATTGTAGATCAAATGTCCCCACTCAACTGATAAGCCCATTCCTTTCTTGACTTTGGTGGCAAGATTTTTTGATTTTTTAATTATTATCTCTTTTTTTTCTCTTTTGAAATTTTGAAGTCGATTATTGTCAAGATCATGGTTTATTTCAGCTTTGCCACCCAAATCAACATCCATTATAACTTTAGGCTCATCGTTATAAGTGGGTTAGTCAGTAAGAATGACCCATTTTCAACTCACAAGCAACCTGAGGGCTTCAGAATCTGTTAAAAATGACCACAAGTTACTCAACGTTTAGTAAAACCTCCTATGATGTCATGAGCCATGAGGTCCTGCTGTCGAACTTGTTTACTTCACAGTACATATTCAATGGAAAAAGAAAAATGAGATTTTAAAAAGCCTCTAGAAGTATTGTTTTGTAGAGAAAATTATAATTGTATCAAAGAGTGTGAATCTGGCAGGTTGCATTGCATTCAAATATAAAATTCATACTTTGTGACACACAAGTCTGAAATAATTTGCTGCCGAATGTGATATCTTTAATGTATTGAGTGGGCATGAGGAAATGAGCAGAAACTCCTCACAGGACGTTTCACTTCATGGGAAAATCTCAATGTTGTAAATGTGGGCATAACATGCGTTATCCTGACAGGATATCCACAGTCTTGTAAAATTCCAGGCAGTAATTATTGTAAGTCTCGGATGTGTTTAGCCAACAAGTGTCTCAACGCAGACGAGTCCCATTGGGCCACTCGCCTGTGCAGCTCGCAATTAGCATCCAGAGCTTGGCAGATATTAATGACGCCATTGAGAAAGGAAGAGGGCAGACAAGCACCTCTCCCACAGAAGTCACGGCCTCCTGTTTATTCATTGTGTCAGAGGTTCTTAATCATCATCCTCAGGACCCCCAGTGCTGCTGGTTTCCATTTTAACAAATTCGATTGGGCCTATTCTCTGCATGGTTGGAAAGGCAAATTTAATTTACAACCTAGTGAGAGAGAACACTGGCTTCCTGTGTGTTGGGACTCTCAAAGAAATTATTACAAAGACATGTCAAGGATCTATGGAATGAGGAAAAATATTTTGCAAAATATGAATGGACTGCTTAGGACTCCCTGCAGACTAAATCTAGACTTCTGTTTGATTAGAAAAAGAGTCGCAATAACTGAAAGTGTTAGCATTGTGTTTAAAATCAAACTAAGTACTATACAACAATCAAAGTGAAAGATTATTAAGATATCCGAGTGAACTGAAACAACAAAAACTCACTTTAGTACATATATATATATAAAACAAAACAGTCAACGACTATGTATTTGCTTTATTGTAATACACTATAGTCATGACTTGTACAAAAGGTCAAACTAAAATATCTGGTTTCAAATAGAAATAAAAAAAACAAAAGAAAAAAACGTAATTAAAAAAAAGAAAAAAATCACTTGAGAAACTTCAATCAACGCACTCTCTTGAAGATTAGTGCTGCCACACTGTTGCCAGTTTTTCCTCCAAACTTGAAGCTGGGAGTAGGCAACTCCTGTACAAATTCAAACCCTGTAAAAAAAAAAAAAAGAAATGCAGAATACTGCCAAGTTAAGAAATACCCATCAAAACACAAGCAGTCACTCATTTCTTTTGGGCTATAAGTAACTAATAAGAGGTTAAGCCGGCAGGAAAGCGAGGCAACCATCCGTCCACCATCTGTGCTGCTTCCCGGGGTCTAGTAAAGGCAAGCTGTCAGCGTGAAAGAGAAGATTTCGAGGCTGTTCGGCCCCCTGCAGGTTCTCCAGAGAGACTGCAGGGAGACGAGTGACAACCAGTGGATGCTTGCCTAAATTTTAACTGTACAGGCCGTTGTTCCCTGCAGCTTAACAACCTGTCAAGAAATTATTGTGACTTCTATGTGGTTTTTCAGGACTGAGAGTTAGACAACAAAACAGTTTGAGATGAAGCTGCTGCATGCCAGAGAGACAGCACTGGAAAAACAATATTGACGTGCCAGAGACGGTCAGCAAAGTTTGGCAGCTCTTTTTCAGCTCAACTAGCGTTCGTCTGAATATGTAGTTTTGTATTATTTTAATCCAATTTTAGCTCTTAAAATAGTTAGCGTTTTCCCCGATCTCGGTATTATGAATTTCACATATATAGCAGGATTTCTGCATGTTTCACTAGGTTAAATTTAAACATTGAAGACCATAATGACTTAAATATAAGATCTTCATGACTACTTACTAAAAAAGAACTCAATAACCTAATTTGCTTAAAAACTCAACCAACTTTAAACTTGTCTTGGAATTTTGTTTAGGATCCGACAGGCAAGTCAATTCGCTTTGCATTTAAGTGACCAAGCTAACACTTTTTAAAAAGTCAACTAAGCAACAGCTGTTGCTGTCCAAAGCATGCTTCAGCAAGCTAACAACTGAAATACAATGTTCTAAAGCCAAACACACATTCTCCTAAAAGATTTGGTAGACAATAATGGAAGAAAACGTTTCTGATATCAATTCACTTCTAATTCTACAAGAATATTAATTTTGCAGGTTGTGGCAAAATGCACATTACATTAATTATTAGTTTTATTGCACCACGACTGCCGAATTGATTCAAGGATGGTTGTACACAAATGCACACCACACTTTTCAGACTTTTATTTGCATCAAATCCTAACCAGTGTTATTTTTTTTGTCCCACATCACAATTATGTACCACTACTGTCACATAAAATGCATCATTTCTGACTAAGGCTTTGTCAGGCCCTCCACATCTGTTTAGATCTAATTTTCAGGAATATAAACTTCAAAGTTAAAAACATTCAAACAAACTCGACAACACATAAGCATATTTTAACATCTGAAACAATGGATTTCCTCTCACCTTCACAGAATCTCTCCAGCAGCTGCTCTTTGGTCCAGTTACAGGAGGTGATGGCAAAGATACCGCCGTCCTTAAGAGCATCTCTTAGGGTGTGGACATACAGTTTTTTTCCCTCCTTGTTGTTGTCTGGGTTTAAACTAATTGCATCAAAAGTTCCTTTGTCAATGCAGACATCAAAACCTGCGAGTTCTCCACTGCAGTTCAGGAAATCCGTCTCCTAAAAATAGTGGAAAGGTGAAAATTTGCTGCGGTGTCCACTCCACAGTAGGAAATGGAAATAGTCATTTTTCTACTACTTTTACACAAGCTTCAGAGTCAACAGTGGCACTATTGAGAGAGTGAACCCTCTATATGGACAGAGCACAAAATACCAGACCTCCAGTGTGAATCCACCAGCCACATCCTCAACAGCCGGTCCCACAAAATACGAGCTTCATGAAGGAATATTACCAGTGGCTACCTGGGCTTAGAAATCTAGAAATATTTTTACAGATGACCAACATATAGGCATGCAAAGCAAAAAGATGCTCAAATGTGAACTGAGGGGGAGTTGAGATGGTTTAAAAACTATAATTGACCTATAAAAGGCAAACATGCTCTGAATATTTTGGCAACCTCCAATACCGCATAAATGATAGCGATGCCAATATTCCTCTCTCTCACATTCTCACACCACTGTGCTTCCCCTATCCAGCGGGGGTCAATATTGACTTTTAACGGCAGCCCTCCTACCCAGGCAGAGAGCACACCTTTGTGGGTGTGTTCATGTAGAACAGTGATGTCGAAAGTCAGTCCCTAAAGGGGCCGGTGTCCTGCGTGTTTTAGTTCTTTCCCTGGCTCAACGCACCTGAATCAAATTATGGTTCATTAGCAGGAGGCAGTTAGGACCATTTGAATCAGCAGTGTTGAAGCAGAAAGGCATCTAAAACTAGCTGGACACCCATGATGAAGTTGCAAATGCATGCACATTATGTGAGAGATAACAGTCATTACACAATTTTTGGACCACCATGCATCCATAAACTGTTTTATGTGGACAGCGATGCCAGTTTGGTTTGAGGTGGGAAGACCTCCATTACCCTCAAGGCTTTTCCTTCCCACCTAACTACCCCACACGGTAAACACAGCAAAGGTTTCTCAAACATTGCCTGGCTCAGACTCACTATGCTGAAAGCTGTGCAGTTCTACATAAATTAATCTATATAAAGTGCATCAAAATAGAATTCAATCCTTCTAAAACTGTTACTGCCAAAGTTTCAACAAGTTTAAAAGAATTTTATGTGATATAAAAACACATTCTAAACTTTATATATGAATATGAAACATAGTTTTAAGTATTTTTACTGTAGATATTTGTACTGCCTCGAAAAAAAGGGTTTCACATAGCCACGCTAATTCTGGTAATATACTTCAAATAATTTAACCAAGTAAGTATCACAATCATCTGTGTATGACTTTTTCACCCAACATCATTTCTCAAGATCATTTTGATTCTCTGGCTGCCACTCTTCTGGCATGACTAGGCAAATGTTTTTAATCTCAGCTAATGCAGCATTGTTTTACCTCTATTTTTTTTAAGCTGTCCCTCTAAACCAGAGGTGTCAAGATCCAGGAGGGCCGCTGTCCTGCAACTTTTAGATGTAACTTTGCTGCATCACACCTGAATATAATAATTAGGTCATTAACAGGACTCTGGAGAACTTATCTACACAATAAGGAGGCAATTATTGTGTCTTAATCAAATGGCACACCTAAAAACTGCAGGACAGCAGCCCTTGAAGACTGCAGTTTCAGCCCTGCTCTAAATCTTGTCTAGCTGAGTTGCCCAACCACAGTTCATTTGAAACTTCCTGGTAGACCCTTTTGATTCTCTATGTGCTGGTAATTTTTTATGCTGGTGATGCCAAACAATATGTTCACAACCTTTGTAGTTTCTTTTTATTTTTTTTGTAAAGGTGAAAACATCAGTGATTTCCTAAGATAATTCAATAAATCAAGATGATTCTGTGAGTTTGGTTGGCTAACTTCATGTTTGCTGACACAAGAAACGGTACTTTAAGATCTCCTGAAAATATCTACAAAACAAACCTGGCATTTATTGTGGATTATGGGTGTGTTTGACATTGATACAGATTTGTGTATATAAACAAAAAAGAAGTTATTTTAATTGTACAACTTTATAAGAGTGAAAACAACTACAGAGCAGTCGGGGAAAGGTATATTTTGATGTCCATATTTATTTTTTCTTTTCTTTATAGAAATGACAGTGATACTCGCATGTTCTTCCTCACACTAAGAAGATTTACTATACCATAAACATGGAGCCATTCCTTAATTATAAAGAATTATGAATAACCCACCTTTACAGTGACATCAGAAAAGCCCTCTGCCTGAAGAACATTTCGGGCCAGTTTGACTGATGCTGGAGAATAATCTAAACCAGTAAGGTTTCTGTATCCATGTTTTGCCTGAGAAGAAAAAAAAAAAATTAGATCAATGTTAGTAAAAAGTTATACATTTTTGTGAAAGAACAGGTTGAAGCACTTGTTCTCCTCTTGGTAAAAATTCTTTATCAACTACAAAGATTGTTCAAATTCCTGAAGAGTACTCAGAAGGGGAGGCATTTGTATTGCGCAAAAAATAAGCTTTGCAAAGAGAATCAACATTATTCTCCCAGACTGAAAACAGGTCCAATAGGACTTGCTGACACGTAGCATGTTAGAGAAAAAGTTTTTGATTTTTTTTAATGTTAGCCTTTTTAACCATTTAAAGACTAATTAAAAATGTAATTGACAGGAAATAAAGATTATTTTTTTCTCAAAATTTAATGCTTTTAATAAAATAAACATTGTGTGGTTTTCTAACTTTTTGTGTCATAATTGACACATTAAACTTTCACTGTGATGTATTTATCCTAACAGTAAAGTTGCATTTTTCCAGTATTACAATATAGCACAATGAAATATATGTCGCTTTTTACCATTTTAACACTATATATTACACTTTTTTTCATGCATGTCACATTTTGATGAACAATTTGTAAAATATATTAAGAACATATTTACAGTCAGAGTACTTTTTTTCTTTAGAAAATCTTCCAACAATTATAAAAGTTTTATAATCAAAATGCTATATTTAGCAAAGACATGAAAGACATTTAAATTAAAAAATATTTTCACTTTGCTCACACCAGTTCAACCAAGAAGGCCCCATTTCCAGTGCCAATGTCGAGAATGGCAGCATCCTCAGGGATCTTAGCTTTCTGGATCCATCGCAGGACACGATTCATGCTTTCCTCACCAAACCTTAAAGGAAGAAAAAACAATTTCAAGTTGCGGAAATTGCTGGTAGATCTAGTTTTGATTATTATTTTTTTTTTGTGTGTAAATTTTGAAAACCAAAATCCAAAGAGCTCAAATAGACATGATTGGTTACAATGCTGTTTTGTAAAAGTAAAATTGTAAAAAAAAGAAGAAAAAAAAAATTGTCCATGGAAGTTAACCACATTGAAAAAAATATGATTTCCAGAATCTATCACAATAAAAAGATCAAAACTGGATTGCAATGTGACATGGAAGAAAAAAAAAATTACAGTAATATAAAAACATTCTTATCGATTGCTGCAACATGTTTGGTTAAATAATATGATTTAAGCAGCAGTGCACTGATATAAAAATAAAAATATTCATATTGCTGTTAATATGGTGAATTATCTGAAAGCTAAACTGTGAGTGTTCTCTGCATACTGCCAGGATTATCTTGCAAGAGACTTTTAATGGTAAAGCACATCAAAGGAAATGTCTGATTTTGAAGAAGGTAATTTGACAAAATAACTGGAAAATGTTCAGAAATAATACTCTCGAAGAATAGAAAAAAGGTTTCTTCAGATTTGATGTCAATAATGACTGTAATAACTGTTCATTACAACCTAGTTTGGTAAATCTGTTACTGTAGTACAAAATAGTTCAGCATTTGAAAAGCTGTTCAAAAAGCCATGCGGTAATTTGTTAATAAAGAGTGATCAGCACAAAAAGTGCTGACAACTTCTTCCTACCATATTTCGCCAACGTCTCCAATGTCTTTAAACGTCTCTAGCTCCTTTTGGTATGTTTCCTCCCAACTGTAGAATAAGAAAACCATTGAGAACCAGTGTAGGGAATACAACACTCAAAACGGCAAACACTAAAATACTGTTGCCTTATAAAAGAGAAAATGCACGGGGACACGCGCCATAAGCGAGATAATAAAAAGACATAAATAAACTTATTGCAATGGTCTGCACCAAAAGACACACTTGGTTAGTGACGACACAGCGAGTCTATGTGTTTTAGGCTAATAAGCTACATTAGCTACACAGTTCAGCTTCATTCTAGGTAATTGTATATCATGTTTTTTTTTTTTTTTATTACCCGCAGGGAATCAATGCAATGTCCAAATACTCTAAGTGACAGTTCTCCGAGCTAAAAACATGTAGCGCCTAGCTAACTGACACGTTGAGCCGTCAATATCAAGCTTCTTGCAAACATTAAGACAATCCACTCTTACTATTCTTTGGTTCCGAGTTTTGACGGTTCAAAATCATCATCGGAAAATTTCTCTTCTTCTGAATCTGAGCAGTCTCCACAACTGCGCGAGTCCCGTCTGGGATCTGCCATGTTGCTGCGGGTTCACAAAGCAGTGGACGCCTACATTTCCCACAAGAAATTGCGTCAAAGGAGCGTGTCCTTAAACGTAGGGGGCATTGGGATTGCTAGGGATGTTTCCATCATGGCGGCATCCATTTCAGGCTACACTTTCACTTCTGTGTGTTATCACAGCGCTAACAGCAACTCAGATCACGTAAGTTGGCGGAAAACGGTCTCCAATGGCCACGGTTTAGTGTTCACGTAGATTTCTGTAGTTTGTTGGTGTGTATTATGGTTTATTGATAGCTTTAGTTTGTGTTGTTTTCCTGTGTCATCCTGGTTCCGTCTATCTACCGGCTTCTATACTATGGTCAGAGAAACACGAAGACAAGATTGTCAGCCTTCTGAAAATCTAATGTATTACGTTAGCGGGAAATAATGTGAATTCGTATAATTAAATGTAGGATACTCTGTGCATGAACACATGTTATACAGTTATACATACGTCTATATGGAAAGTTAGGTTTCCAGGAAATATCCAGTAGTTAGCTACTTAGCATGATACCCAAAGTCAACTGACTTCCGTGTATCGATACAGGTAATATCTGCTCCTAACGGCGGTCTTTGAGCATTAAAATGCTGATTTTTATTTATTTTATATATATATATATATATGAAGGTTAAATGTTAGCCGGGAGGATCGAATAACTAAAGTTATAACTCTTGTTTCCTTATATCTTTTTAGCATAGCTAAATTAGCTTGTTAGCCAGTTTGCTAATAGCTGTTGCTCAACTTGTTTTTAAATATCAATCTGTTTTCTCTAGTTTTATTGTTTTGGGTTTGTTTCTATCAAAAGTCAAGAGTTACACTGTATGACAAATGAAAGTAAAATAAACTTTTAACATTAAGGATCGTGTCAGCTGAGGTAATATCAGCTGGTCTGTTTACATCTTCGAGATCTGAAAAGTGGGCCTTGATAGGAGCTTTGTTCCTGCAATGCAAAGTACAAGTTTAAGCAGCTGTCAGCTGTCATTTCTGTGCAGATAAAGGAATTGCATAGAACTGAGCTGCAGTTCAAGTAGCATTAGCGCTATTTAAAAGAGTAAAACTTATGGCTTACAAGCTGTGAAAAGTTATTGTATATATGTATTCATGTCCCACCTAATGAATTACTGGAATTGTTAGGTCTTAAATTTGATCCTGACCTCTTTTCACTTACAATGCCTTGAAGTATTCATTCCTCTTGGACTCTATATACTTGAAGCTTCAAAATTTATCAAGATGTACTTGACTTTTATGTTATGGATCAACACAAAGTAGTACATAATTGTGAATTGAGATGTTTTTGGTTTTTTCAACAACAAAAAAAAGAGAAGGAAATAAGTACTTGTGGCATGCATCATGACTCAATTCTTTGCATAGCTACCTATGTTGTGTTGTAATTAAAGGTGTGGTATGTCTGTGGAAGTTTTTCCATTTCCTGAGCCATACATTATCTCCTCTTGTTTTGTAAAATAGCTCATACTTTGTCAGGTTAGGTGGAGAGCTTTGGTGAACACAGATTTTCATTAATCATTGTGATTAGATGCAATGTTATGTAATCACTATTTCTCTGCCCTTTTTAAGTGCAGGGTGGACTAAGCAGGCTTTAGGGTATTTTTTGACTTAAAGCGGACCACTGCCGTTTTTACACCTTTGATGTTTGATGCATGTTGGCTCATATTTTAGCTCTTCTGGGTATTTAGGTCAAACCAAAAGTCTGCTTACGGCTGTGGTTTGACATTTGGCTTTGACATAATTAGTTTTAGTCTTCTTTGTTTTTTTACAGTAAGATTTACACAATTTTACTGGTAAATGCCTCTGGATGAGCAGCTGGGTGCATTTTCCCCTTCTGCTTAAACAATAGTCATAGGACTGACTGTAAACGTGTACAGATTTCCAGGAAGTTGTCTAGTTTAAAAGCAACATGAATAATGACGATACAATTTGTATTTATGCTTGTGTTGAAATAAATGTTTATCAAGCGGTTTTGTGAATTCAATAATTATGCCTCCACTTTGGGTTGTGAAAATGTATTTTGTTTTGCAGGAGGGCTTCCTATTAGGAGATGTAAGGCAGGAAGAGACTGTCAGCATCAGTGATGCACAGATTAGCAGTTCGGAGCTGCTGCAGGTAGTAGGTAAGCAGCTTCATAATGTGGATGTCAACTGATTTAAGGGAGTATAGTTTTCTAGAATTTAATTTGACATAAGCAAGCGTACCAGGGTGAATGAGATATTTAATCATGAATTATTCCCCTTTACCCATGTTTCAGCATTGTTTCTGGAGTTCAACATATTTGTTCAATCAAGCCGTTCTTTAAAGAAATGATGTTACTACTATTTTTTTTTTCTGTTTGCCACTATATAAAGTGAAAAGATGACTTTAAAAAGTTTAGTCTACTTCCTGTGTTTTTCCACACTTATTCTTGCATTTGGATAATGCTTTGAAAAGTATATATATAATTACTTGTGGCTAAAACAGATATGATTGTTCTTTCCCTTGCAGAAATTCATAATCATCACCCTTGTGCACATTTATTTAGGTAAGCAATAGCTTTTTTTACACTTAAACTTCTTTTGTTAATATGTTTCTGCCTGATAATCTGCAGATTTAGCTTTTGATAATGGGCTGCAGGATGTTTGGCTTTATTACTTAAGAAACCAGTTTTTGTGCATGTAAAAGCGTATCTAGTATGTTGGTGGGTGGATATCTGCTCTAACAACTCAATGCCATTTTATGTCTTAGTCACCTTGTGATTTTAATTTGACAGTGGACAGTAGATGGCTCCCTCTGACAAGACTAGATTTCATTGGAAGTCTGTCAGAAGAGGAGTATGAATCTGATAAATGAATTTGAACTGACTCCTCCTCCTTTTCTCAGCTTTTACGACTACGCAGGTACAGTCAGTGAGGAAAATCTCAACAGCATTCTTAAAGATAGGCGAAAAGTGAGTCATTTCTTTGTTTACATTCAGATATTGTTCTCACCTTAATGGAAAAACAAAAAAAAAGTTATGTTTATATTTTTAAACTTGTTTTTATATTTTATGTATATTCTTACATATTTATATTTAATTACAAACAGTGATTTTGACATTTCTCTGTACAGTATTTTAAGCATGTGAATGAAATCCAACTGTTTATCAAACAAACATATCTTTGATTGTGTAGAATGTCATCGGTTGGTATCGATTCCGGAGAAACACGCAGCAGCAGATGTCGTTCAGGGAGCAGATCATCCACAAACAGCTCACTCAGCTGCTCGGTGTGCCCGACCTCGTCTTCCTTCTTTTTAGCTTCATCTCTACAGCCAATAGCTCCACGCACGCACTGGAGTATGTGCTCTTCAGGCCGAACCGAAGGTGCTACATATTCACATTATTTCTTCAGAATGTTGTCTGATCATCTGATTCTTTAGCCAAAGTTCATTTCTAGTGAATTATTTTTGTCTTTTTGCAGATGTCTTTTGTTTAAAGTATTATTTCTTTAAATTTAAACTACACCTCTTTCGATATAATCCTGTAATTCTGGAGTACTTGGTAAGACAGACAAATATATTGGCTCTTGTAGAAATAAATGTTACATGCTTTAAAATGACTTCACCTTTATTGTAGTAGCATATTAGAGGAAAAATGTAGCCTTTCTTTGGAGGGTATTTATTAATGGGCTGGAGTTCAGTGGTGAGAAAAGATAGGTAATTAATTACCAACTAGTAATTCATGATTTTCTGTTTTTATGAGATGTATGCTTATATTCTTTTTAGCCTCTGATGGCTAGGCTGTAGCAAAGCCATCATTATCTTAGAATGGAAAAAACGTATAGAATGACAAGTTAGAGTCAGTGAGTCACTTTAACAAACATTAAATCTTATACGCATTCCAACTGGTTATAAGTGAGGTATGCAAGGCCAAAGCTATTTATGTGTTATCAATTTTGCTTTGTTCAACCTTTAGTGAACTAGTTGTACAATCTACTAGTAATTATGCCTTGTCGTACTAATGGCTTTAGCTGTATGGATGATAATATTATACTACATGTATTAGTCGTTTTCACTGGAAACGCAAGAGAAGGAACCATAAAATAGGTCTGGGTGAAGGTGTTGGAAAAATAAAAGCTGGAATGTTCGCAGATAAAATTTTAAGTTTAGTGTCAATTTTGTTGCAAACAGCTTTGCAGCTCTATTAACGATCCACCAATTTGACTCATTCGTGTTCTAATTTTAGACACTGATCTTTTAAGGTTCTGAGTTTTAAAAAAAGAAAGCCTAAACACAAAACCTTCACCTGAATAGTAAAATTTGTGTGATGTATTGCAAAGTTGTCATTTTGGTTGTTTAAAAAAAAAAATGCTGTCGTTTGAAAAGCATTTTATTTTACTGGGACTAACTGGTCATTTCCTCTCAGTAGGTACAACCAGAGGATTATACTCACGATCCCAAATCTCGGCAACACAAGCCAGCAGGAATACAAACTCTCCTCAGTACCCAACACCTCACTCAACTATGCCAAGGTCATCAAAGAGCACGGGTAAGTCTCCAGCTCCTATTTTTGTGCTACTTCCGAGCCACTGCTAACAAAGTTCAGTTGATCACTCTCATCTCCTCATATGTGTCAAAATGTCTGTCATCTGCACCTGACAGGATTCCACATCAAGTGCACATAATCAGCTTCACTAACATTGTTTAATAATTTAGAAATTATATTTATGTGAAACTTTTGAGTTATATGCATAAGTTTCTGCCTTTTCACTATTTTTGATAGCTTTCTTACTCATGAAATATTGCCATTTAGCGTCAGACATGCTTTCATCCTGCAGGTTTGGTTTTGAAAGGATATTATGAAAATAAAGGTTATATTAGATTTTTCTTTTGTTTGTTTGTATTAGTAGATTGTGATGGATTCTTCGTACTGATGTTTCTCGAAGGAGATAACTTTCTAGAGATCCAACAACAGAACCAACAGAATTTGTTTTTACTCGAGTACACAAAAAAACTTGCATGTGACGTTTTCTAATGTCTTCAGTCAATCCTAAAATTAAGTCGAAGTATGATTTGAACATTTCTTCTGACTGGAAGGAAGCAATACTTACATTTCTGGGTAGCAGGGTAGCCAAACCAGAGTTCTGACTTGATACTACATGTCTGTAGAGAGCTAAAGATTAGCAGTCATGCTAATATCTGGCCAAAATGATGGCTGTAATGCTAAAAAAAAATGTTTTCCATTGATTATTGAGAAGATGATAATTTACTTTGACTTTGTCATATTTTTTTTATTAAATCTGGATATAAGAAAAAGAGAAATAGTTTTCTCTCAAGTTATGTGACTTGAACATTGTGCCATTAATCTCTCAGAATACAATCTGTGTAAAACGATAACTTTCAATCTTAACTTGTCAGCTGTATTTATAAATTTGGTGGTAACTGTAAAACGACTGCATTATTATAAGGGTGTAGGAGTGCAACTGCTCTACCTCTTGCAGTGGCATACTCTTCGCTCTAAACATAAACATAAAATGACTTGCATTAGCTGTTAATATTGGTGTAATAAAACATAATGAAGTTGGTCTGATCCTGTGAACAGCTGCATTCCTTCGTTAAAGCCATCCTCCATGTGTTCAGCTGAGAGAGAGAGTGAAATGAGCGAGTTTCAGCCTACAGCTATTCAAAGTTATGTAACTGGGGTGGACAGAAAAGCTGACTGGCATCAATATTTATGTAAATTATTATTTAAATTGCTATACTATTTTAGCTTTGGTATCTGACTGCTACCTTTTTTGGGAGTAACCCTAATTTGAATGCACATGTCTAGCTTTCCTTCCAACATTATAGATGGTGTAGGACCGATGGCTGAGCCCAGGGGAAAGCTGGTATGCGACAGCCAGCAGATGCGTTGGCTTGTGTCTTTGTGTCTAAACTTAGATCCACTGTTTCTACTGCAGATCAGCTTTGACCAGACCGCTTGGATTTAGTCAGGCCTTCCTGTACAAATGTCCTCACTCAACATGCAAAGAAAATCTTTTGCAAAGAAAATCTTTTACAGTATTTACATTTTAATGTCTTAGACGTGGTTTTGGTTGATTCTTCTTTTTTTTTTAGTTTTTATTATTAACTCTGTACTTTGCAATCATTGTATCAGCAAAAACATAAAGATTTTATATTTTCTCAGCGCCGAGTTCTTCGACAAAGATGGTGTAATGAAGGATATCCGAACAATATACCAAGTCTACAGTGCCCTACAAGACAAAGTGCAGGTGAGTTTCTTGGTAAATGTGTTGAAGTTTTGCTTAATACTCAATGTAAAACAGTTCAGGCAGTTAACGTGCTTGTCACTTTCTTCTCTTATCGTCAGGCTGTTTGTGGAGAGGTGGAGCAAAGTGAACGTGTTAGAGAAAAACTTCAAGACGAGGTGAACAAACTCAAACAACAGATCGCTCTCAGGAAACGTTTAGCTGCAGAAGAGGAAAGAAGTACGTATCCACTTTGGGCTCTAAAGTTAAGATGTAGGACAAAATGATACTCCTCATGTTCCAATAGATTAATTGCAGTGCCTTGCAAAAGTTTTTATACCCTTCGATAGATAAATCCTAGATATCGTCCATCTAAACTAACGAGTTTCTATCACACAATTTAGGTTTGATCATGCGGCCCATTGTAACTCGCGTAGTATTGAAGAGATTGACGGATTCAAAGGGAAATCTCCACAAATCTGGCTAATAAACTGGATTGCAGAAAGAATAGAGCATTTTATAAGAAGAATAGAGCAAGTCATAAGAAGTATTATTTCACACAAGCCATGAAAGAATGCTACCAACATGTAGAAAGTGATCTAGTCATATGTGACCAAAGTACAACTTTCTAGCCTGCAAGCCAAACTTTGCATTGATTAAAAACACTACATCATCATTAATATACAATCACACATGGTGGTGGCAGTGACATTCTGTAGGAATGGTCTTCACTAACAGGGACAGGGTTGTGAGAGTTGATGAGAAGATGTCAGTGTTGATAGAAAACATGCTGGAGGCTGTACAAGACTGAAGTGTTAAAAGTTTGTTGTCTTGGAGAGAGTTTACTTGCATTATTCTGCCATTACAGTTCTATTACCTTAAAATGTTCTCAAAGCAGCAAATGTTACTGTTTACCTGGGATAATTTATCCACATCCTGTCTGATAGATCCAACAAGAATGGACAAAACCTTTCCTTTCACTTCATTAAAAAGAGTTTCTGTTTGTTGGTTTGAGGGTCTGAAAACTTTTACAGGGCATATCTGACAGCAAATGTTATAGTTTCATTTTCTCTAATGCCATTATAAATGCTTCACCAGTGGATGATTTCTTTTAATGCGTTTCTCCCTGCAAAATTAAAACTTTGAGCAACTTTATCTCCTGTCTATTTGTTGTAAAGGACTCCGTGAGGACTCGCGCTCCCTGCCTGAAGAGAACGCGGAACCCTGCGAGGCATCCTCCATTCTTTCCAGAATAGCTTTTGACGCACCCTCGGCCCCGGAGCGACCCAGTACCTCACCAAACCCCCCATCATACACTGACCTCTTATCCCAAGATGACAATCTGCTCTCCTCCTCTTCCCCGCCGACCAGGGCTGCTCTGTTGCCTCGGCCCCAAGCTGTGGGCTCACCGGGTCACCCGTCCCCCATTCCCGTCCAGACAGACCTGGCACTTGGGCTCAGGCAAGGCATGGGCCTCGGTGTCAGTTTAAGTCCTGTTAGCACTCCCAGCACCCCGTACCTCGGCAATGGCGATGGCTCGAGCTCTGATTCTTTAGACAGACAAGCTGCTGGGCAAGAGGATGATGATGACGAGGAGGATGAAGATGATGCAGACGAGGACAGTAGTGAATACGAGAACTTGGTGAGCGAAGGGGCTCATTTGCCTCTGGTCTCAGCCAGTGTTTTAGCTCAAGGCCGACCAGCTGCCCTCGGCCCCGACGGCGATGCCCACGACTCACAAATGACATAGAAACACGCTACCGAACGGGAGAGGGACACGAGTCATCGACACACCTGTTAACGGCGGGAATCTGAAGCAATCAAAGATGAGCAAATGTAGACAAAAGGAAGTGCCAGTCCTGAAAGAGAAAGGCATACACGCATGGTTTCCCACTGGGTAGTTTGTCATAGTTTAGGGGAAACCTTGCAAGGCTTTGCAGATATGTCTCACTGGGGTAAAACTTGTCTGTTTTGTTTTTTGTTTTATATATATATAAATATTCTTGAGGCCATTCAAGGTACTTAAATGTGGATCTGTCTGATTTCTGAGTCAGATGTGGATTCAACAAAGCAATTTCTGCCAGCTGGTTGGCTAATTTGCTTGTGATAAAACAGCTCTACACTCTTTGTTTGTTTTTCTGCATTCTTTGTGTTGGGCTTGCATCAAAGGCTGAAGGTTTGTTTTTTGCATTACTTCTTGCACAATTCATTTTCTTATTCCCTTTTTTTTCCCTTTGAGAAATCCCTTTAAGAAAGTAAAAGGGACATGTTCTGCTGCCTTTAAACAATATTAAACAAAGGCAAATGATTACTGACTTATTTGACTCTGTTCTACAGCATCTGATGACTAAAGCAAACTGTTGCCTGTTTGAACGATGAATAGATTTCAAGTCAAATTTGCTCTGCCACTTCCACAATAGGTGCTTTATACTCATAATATGTATATGTATTGTCACATTAACAGTTTGTCTACTTTGATTGAGAATATTAGTGACTTGTCTCTAGGATTATGTTCATGTGTTTTGCTGCACTTAAAACTTAAAATTCCTTTTTATTTTTGCTTTACCAATGCTGGCATATTGTGTCCTTTTTACAGACTTGGCTTTTGTTTTTTCTTCTCTTTATTTTGCATTGTACAGAGTTCACAGAGCAAACACAGTGTACTGTAGCTTTACTAACAAAATGCTTAAAGTTCCCTTTGCTGCTGCAACACAGAGAGAGCCACTAGTAAAAGTTGCTTCTATCTGTTCATTTTCATATAAAAACCTGGCTGCTACCTTCGTTTTTACCGTGCTGGTTGTCTCAATACTACTGACAGTGCTCATATAACCACTTCCAACACGCTTTATTGAGCGGCACGTCCCTATGAAATGAATCTCATTGCCTTCTTGTCTTTGCTTAGTTAACAGCAGTGCTAACGCATTCTCCCCTGCTTGGGCCAATGTTGCGTGTGTGGACCTAGATAATGTGATGATTTTTATTTATTTATTTTTTTTTTTCATAAGACATTACTCTGCTTTAGTATACAGTGCCTTCCACTCTGGACAGTCTGTGTCTGTGCTCAGAATCAAGATTTTAGTAGAGTAGTGAAAGTAGATGAACATCGTCTGTCTCTTCCATCATCAGCTTCCAGAAGTTTTTTTTTTTCCTTCTTTTTGTTTTTTGTTTTTTTTTTACTTTAAGGTACTGCAACTATTTCTTCACTGCCTAAATATTTTCCATGTAATAGGCATGGGCCAGTTTTAATTAAAAAATATATACTGTCATATCAATTTATTTCAACAAAGATTTAAAACAAATAATCTAAATCAATTCATTAACAAAGCAAAGGCAATAATTTTTACTGTTACTAAAATAATCTTTCTTTGTTGACTTACAGGTATAACACTTTCTGAAACCTCTGTTATTTTAATTTTGTACTTGGTCTACTAATCTACTCCTTTTGTGACAGTGCCATGATTTATGTGTTTGTGCTCAGTGTGCTTTTCGTAATGGGAAATGGTTACAAATAGCATAATTTGTTTGGTATAAGCAAGGGAAAAGTGCTGTTTCTTTCAGGAAGCTGGCTGGCAGTGGACAGTAAAAGAGGAGAGTGAGCCCTTCTGTGCTCTGCACAGCAAAGCTTCAAGGGTTTAGTTCATTGGGTCAGTAATCCTCAAAGTATGATAACTTGAGTGAAGAGCTGTTTCCAAAATGAGACTTTATGAAAACTGGAAATATTAAGAGATTGGATGTTACAAATGCCATTTTCTTTCACATAGTATTGAAAAGACTAAACTGACGTATTTAAAACTTCAGAATACAATTAATAAATAGGTAAATGGCCCATGCCTATTGTCTACCTGCATCCTGAGTTTATTTCTCTTGCTCTCCTGTATCTCAAAGTTGTGATGTTGGTTTGGTTGCCGACTTGCTTGAAACTGGAAATGCAGCCAAGTCCAATGAACTGAGAAGCCTTCAAGAAAAAGTTGATGACCATCAATGCGTTTGCAGATGGCGCCCACAGGAGCGGTGGATAACTGGGTTGTTGTGGAACACCTTTTGCATGAACCAGTGATTTCTAGTCACTGTTAAATTTAGCATGGACATAGCTTGCACTGCACCGGATATATTTTTGGAGGGGAGACGCTTTGTCTTGTGAACAAGCTTGGCTTTATTTAGACACTCGGTTTGTATGTCATTTTTTCTTGTGCGTGTTTTGTTTAATTTTGTTTTCCCTTGCCCTGATGTGTAATGCCAATGCATCAATGACCGGGAACTGGCACTCAAAATGACCTAGAGTAACAATCGTGCAAAGAAAAATGAAATGACTTAAATGAGCTTTTGAGGAGTGCAATTTCCTTGGAATACTGAATTAAGGAAATAAATAATGAATGTATATTAGACAGTAGTGGATAACATAAACACCACTTACTGTACTGTATAAGCTTGCCTCAGATGAGTGATGTGAAGGTATATAGCAGCATTTCTCAGAGATTGTCCTCTTGTAATCTTTGTTCTTCACACCCTCTGATAAAAGTTTTGTGGGCGTTGGCCCGGGTGAAAACTTTGCAGCTCCTTGGTGCAGAAGATTGACCATATGTGAGAATCTACACGGTTTAGATCGACATGTTTCCAAGTTGCAGCATAATCCAAATGTATACTCGCGTACTCTCACTGTACGAGGTGACCTTTTGCTTCCTCTGTGGAGTGGACTGTAACATAATCACCTCACCTTAAAGCACAAAGTTCAGTGCACACACCTTAGATCTTCTGGAATTTTATCTGGATTTGTGTATATGATGAAAGTTGACCAAGGACTTGTTTGGTTCAGCACAGAGAACGAGGTGGATAAACCGAGGGATAATAAATAAGACGTTCATATGTGATGGAATGTTCCTTTGTTTTCTTATGCAAGTAGGCTACCAGATAACATATTTTGCTCCTAAAATAAATAACAGTTATTTTGAGCTTGTCTGCAAGATGCAGTTAAAATATTTAAATGATTAGTTACAAGAATTATAATTATAAAAATAATAAAACGTTTTCAAAATATAGAAAAAATTTAATGTAAATTTTTATTAAAATTTGAACTCACTTGGATTTTGTATTCAATAATTTCATGGTTTCTTTGCATCATGAAATATTTAAAACTCGTGGCTCATTTAAAACTTTTTAGCACCTCATTGATTAATCTTAAAGTTTAGATCATTTGTCTTGACTACAGCTGTGTTAGTTTACTAAATAGAATATTTACTAAGCTTTATAATTACTTTAATAATGCAAATATTTATTATTACTTTTGTTGAATCAGTGTTTTTGAACTGCCATCCAATTTCAATTCAGCTTTGGTAATTGAAAAATGAAAAAACATCTTTAAAAAAGATTTTAAAGATGTAAAATCATAGCTCACTCATCAACAGTTGACTTCAAAAGAAGGGGCGCAAATCAAAAATTTATTTGTACAGTGTGATAAATATAAAAATCCTAAAGATTGCACTGGATTGTGAGAGTTTTACAACTAGTAAAGAAGTGTTAGCTCCACCTTCTGACTTTGATGGATGTGAGGGGTAAAATATTTTTTTATAATGTATGGAAATAAATAGACATTAATAATGCATTATTATAATAAGAATGCATTTATATACTTATTATATTTATACTACATATAATAATTATATGTATGTTATTTATAAAAAGGTTTTAGCAGATGGTGTGTTTCAATTTTATTAAATAGTGGCTTATTTAGCTTCTTTTTTAAAAAAATTGTGACGCTACCATACTTTTAGGCTACTGAAAAAGGTCAAAAGACTTTTTATTTTTTTTTATTTTTATTTTTTTTAAAGGGGCACATAAAATTGACTTTCATGTATGTTTGAGAAATACTTTAATTTGCTGTGGCAACAATTCAGCTGTTCAAACACCTGGATGGATCGAGCACAACCTTTGAGATGCAGCTCCCCCTCAGAGATGCAGTTTCCAAGCAAGCAAGTTTCTGCTTCACAGAGCACCCTTCACCGCCCACTACCCGACTCGGCTCCTTAAGAGTAGCGGCTGGTAAAAAAAAAAACATTGTTTGAGGTTTAGTAAAGGAGCAATGTTGTGATGACTTCCTGAAGGCAGAGTTTCAGAAAGAGCGGTTTTTAAAGAGAACAAGGTCCGATCTCAAGGTGGTAAATTACAAAGTCTAGTTTCTTTTAAGTCATTTGGCATTTCTATAACAATTGAAGGTAACATATAGCATTTGATTGTGCTATAAATTGGCACAATCAAGTAATACTGCCCCTTTAAAGTGCAGGTATTGATAAAATACAATTAATTGTCAAGTTACTGCAGTATGTGGCCATAAAATAATTAGGCACTTGTAAAAGAAACTGAAATTTGCAGTGAAATTCTTCTAATTGACTCTTCAAAAATATTTGTAATAACCCACAACCTTTTCTTAATTTAAACTTGATTGAGTAATCAATTTTTATTGAATTGGGCACATTTGTACTTCTTCACAAACACACAGGGAAAAAACTGGTTAACAGTTAACTACAAATACATATATACTTTATATGCAGTTAAATATGTAGAATTGTAAGTCTTTTTTTTAGCTATTGTGGTACTAGTCCAGCATACATTTAGTTTAGTGTTGTGAAAATACAGGTATTAAAAAAAAACAACCACAAAATCTCTATTTTTTTCATATGGACTAATGAGCCAATATTTGACCATATATGCCTCATTAGGTGTATTAATATTAGGTGTTTTGTTATAGCAGTTTTAGACCTCCATACATTTCTTACTCAAAGTGGTAAAATGACAGTTTTTCATTTGTTTCTTAATTTTTTTATATCAGTAATAACATAAACATTTGGCAACTGATTTTCATATGCAATGCACAATTCAGAAATCTTATCGTACAGTTGACAATTATGATTTCAGACAGAACTGTTGCACAAGCTGTTATGCATTGCTGCAGACTGCTTGCTGCAGTATTTTTACGATGACATCATCCTTTTGGAGGAGATACCATGTGGCAGTTTGCCATTAATGCAACGTATTACGATGCACAAAATTAAATATTTTACTTTTAATCTCACACTCGTCTGGAAAAGGAAAATATATATATATATAAAGTCTGCGTGCTGCTGTTTTTATTGCTGTCACATTCGTGTCTGTTTTGCATCCTCCGAGCCTTTTAACAGTTGGAATGGGAGACGTAGAATCTGATTGGTCATTGCCAATGGATACAGACAAAAACAACCAATCAGCGAAGTCGGCAGATTCAGGTGGTAAATCCTGATCCAGCCTCTGACTGTAACACGGCTCCGAGCACTCTCTGCTCTCCCCTGTAGTGTATTTTTCAACCCTTCTTCGACTGCTTCCCTCCCCCTGTCCCGCCGCCATTAAAGCCCGTCAACCTGGGATTTAATCGGCAAAAAGGATTAAAATGATTTGAAGCGTCGGAACCAGCAAAACAGGGACGGGACTTTGGGGGGTGGGGGGGATATTGTTCATTGGACCTTACGGACGTACTGCCAGTTGAACGGCAACCTCCCACAGAAAGAAGTAAATATGCGGTTAGTGTCGTGCAAGTGAGAAAATCCCGACTTCGGACCGGAGGAGAGGGGCTCTCCGTCCGGGAGGGGAAGCAGCGGGACACCGAGGAGTATGAACACAGCAAACCAGAGGTGAGTGTTAACATTGCCGTCTTCTTGTACAACTGACTCGGGCCTGTCAGGCGGTTACGGCCAAAACATAACCTGGAAATGTTAGCGGGCTAGCTCGGCTGTAATTTCTGTCTGACAACCGAACCAACGGCTGGTTGTTGTGATGTAAAATAGCCGCCAGCTGCTAGCTCGGGATATGACGTGGCTGTGTACTGCGGAGTTAAACTATCGCTTCCAGGGAAAGGTTTTAGCCGAACGGGCAATTAAATTACTTTGTTCATTTAGCAGAAAAGTATTGACAACAGGTCTGAGGTCGCTGCTTGGAAAAAAAATGAGCCAGTTTTCGACGAGTCCTGTGTCTGGGAGCTAGCAGAAATTTGCAGAATTTCTCACGCTGTGTTGGTAAACTTAGAGGCGTGGTGTAAACACGGAGTAATGTTACTCCCCTTTGAACTGCGAGGCAACTTCTTTCCAACAGCTCTCCTGTCTTCGGGACTGAGCAGGACGTTACAGGAAAGCGTGTGTGAGGTGTGGGTCAAGTTTCATGACTGTAACAAGTGACCCTGAGAGAAAATCAGATCTGGGCATTATGGATGGATTGATTACTACAGCAAAACTGACTTTTCACAAGATCCCTCACCAAAAAAGAAGTGTGGGGGACCACTGAGTTTTTTCCTGAAAACCCCAGAAAAGTACACACCTGCAACAAAGTGGCAAAACAATAAAACACTGAAGCGTTCCAGAAAGTAGACCGGAAAAGTACAATAAATGACCACAATGAAACGAAATAGCTTTACAGAAATTAAGCTTTGTAGGGACACAGAAAATATGCAAAAAAACCAAACAAACAAACAAAAAAAGTTGTCGAGTCAGATGAGGTCAAATTGAAACGCCTTGGCCTTTTTTTTTACAGTGAAACATGCTGGTGGTCATGTTGGCTGGATGGATGGAGCAAAGAGCAGAGCAGTCGCAGAAAAAAAAAAAAAAGAAAATCTGTTAGACCCTCCAGATCACTTGATACTGAGGCAGAGGATAGAAGGACAAGACAACAACATTTAGAGTACAGCCAGAGCTATGATGGATTGGTTCAGGGTGGAAACGATGAATCAAATTCATTGTGATTAATCAATTATTAAAATAATCATCAGCTAACTAACTGTTAGCTGGAGTACACAGATTCTAAAAAGATTTTTTGATAAAAGAATATTCTCAGAGCAGTAGATAAAACAAAAGTGTACAAAAGATTTGTATACTTAACATTTATGATGAAAAACGAATCGTTGAATCTGATTGAAGGGTAATCACTACGTAAATTAGCCCTTTCTTGACCTTTACATCTTATTATGTTATTCTCTTGTCAAAAACATACTTTGAGTCTTCATTTTGTCATGCATTTTTGAGAAATTTGTTAATTTCACATGGCAACCAGTCAGTTGTGCAAAATGCCTGGGTGGGCCTTTGAGGCACACTTCCTCCCCAGAGCTGCAATTTCCAAGGTTCTGCCTCAAAAGGCAGCCCTCCCCTGCGATTTCCCCACTCAGCTGCTGAAGACTAGCCAGCAGCAATTAGCAAACACCTGGTGAAACTACGCATCTGCAGAGCTCATCATGCAAGCTCCTTCTCAGAGCAGTGCTGGTTAAAAACACTGTTAAAGGGTCAATATAGGAGGCAATGTTGTGATGACTTCCTGAAGGCGGAGTTTCAGAAAGAGATGAAGTTTTTTTTAAGAGGCAGAGGCCCAATTTAAATGTGTTAAATTAGGAAGTAAAATTTCTTTATATGTATATAAACTGAAGTTAATACAATTATTTAAATGGCACTATGTCTGGAAATACATAATCTATCCCCTTTAAGTGTGAGCGGTGTTGTGTAAAAGAACAGATTGACAGGTCAATTTTTAAATGTGAACAGCTGGTACGAAATTATCCTGTTAGGCTGTCATAGTTTTATATTTTATTTGGTTAACATTTTAATAAGCATTAGATTAATATGGTTCTTTTACTGAACTAATTTGTGTGGGTTTATCACATAACATAAGTTCGAGAGGTATGATTTCTTTTTAAAGCCCTGTGATATCGCTTCAGTGAGCTGCAAGGCAACTTCAAAGAGGCACTTTGCCTCTTTTGCAGTCCGATTATCTAGCTCCACTATAATAAAGGGGTGAGAGATATTTACATGCATCTGCCCGGGTGCCGCGCTCTCATAATCCATCCATAATTTCTGTGCTTCTG